TGTTTACTTTTCTTCATTACTGTGTTTTCCCAAGAAATTTCCTGTAATTTATTTTTGACTTATAATGTCAGCCTTATGACAGCCTTACGGCTGTTGACTTGGCACATAAATAATAAAGAATTGAAATGAATTGAATTGAATTATTATTATTATTATTATTTTGCATTTTACAATCTACTTAACCGTAAAGGAAGTAACAAGTCAATGCGATATATCTTCTTATGTCTTGAAGGCGGTAACTGCCCAGCGGCAGTTCTCATCCATTTAATTTCTTAAGCCTTCTGGCCACTTTTTCTTCAATCTTCTTGCATTAGCGTGTGGGTTCGATAATTCATCGATTAGCTGGTTCTCATGGCCTGTAATCCGGTTTTGGTATTTGTTAGCTTGTTTTTTGATCTCATCCGTTATGAAGGGAATGTTGAGGTCTTCGTGGATGGTTCTATTTGATACGTACCATGGTGTTCCTGTTATACCTCGTAAGGTTTTCGATTGAAACGTTTGTAGTATTTTGGTATTGGACGATTTAGCGCATCCCCACAGCTCAATGCCATAGATCCAGATGGGTTTAATAATTGCTTTATATAATAGGACTTTATTTTCCAGAGACAGCTGTGAATGCTTTCCAATAACCAGTTCATCTATCTCGCTTTAACGTTAATTGCTGTCGTTTCATTTTTATGTGTGTTTGCCACGTTAGTTTGTGATCTAAGCGAAGTCCTAGATATTTTACTTCGGATTTGGTTGGTATAATAGAATTGTTGATTGTTACTTGCGGGCATCTAATTCGTCGAGTGGTGAAAGTAATTTGTGCTGATTTGTCATTATTAGTTTTTATGCGCCATTTTTGGACACACCGCTGTAGAAGATTTATGCGTCTCTGTAGGTCTACAAAGGTTATCAGAGGATCTTGATTTTCTGAGAGTATTGTTGTATCATCTGCAAAAGTGACCAAAACCGTGTGGTCTGTAGCTGGTAGGTAAGCAGTGTAGAGCAAATAGAGGAACGGGCCTAAGACGCTTCCCTGTGGCACTCCGGATTTGATGTTATGGAAGTTAGATACAGCATTATTCATTCTAATTTGGAAGTGTCTTTTCGTTAAGTATGATCTCAGTAGCAAGAATATTTGACTCTGTAATCTTTTCCTGATTTTGTAGAGGAGACCTTCGTGCCAGAACTTGTCGAACGCTTATTGTATATCTAAAAATGCTGCAGTACAAATCTTTTTGTCGTCCATAGCTTTCCATGATATAATGCACTATTCTGTGTCATTGTTGTACTGTTGCGTGCCCTTCCCGAAATCCAAATTGGTAATTAGGAATTATGGTTGACAATGGTACTGAAGCTGTAATTTTGTTTAGGAGTCTCTCAAACAGTTTGGATAGTACAGGCAGGAGACTAATAGGTCTATATGATCTTGTCTCTGTTTCTGGTTTCCCCGGTTTGGAGATCATAATTATTTGTGCAAATTTCCACGGAATAGGGTAGTAGCACAATCGGAGTATACTATTGAAGATGACTGTTAGTAGGACCAGGGCCTTCATAGTTAAGTGTCTCAGGATTTCACTTGCAATTAGGTCATACCCAGGAGCTTTGTGGGAGCTTATATTATTTATCTCTTGTTTTACCTCTTTTGGTGAGAGATATTTTAGAGGAAGATCTCTTTGAAAAGGTGCGTCTAAGAAGGCGTTTACTTCTAGCTCGTCCTCAATATTATTCACAGGCAGTGGAGTAAATATATTTGCTACACAATCTGCGAAGGCACAAGCCTTTTCTGTGTCTGTTCTGGCCCAGCTTCCGCCCATATTCTTATTGGAGGATTGCTACTGTTGGTCTTGAATTTTTTGTAGCCTTCCATATGGAGCGATCATCAGGTGCTAGACGTGAGATATAATGTTGGAAAGAGGCATTACAAGATTTGTTTCATGCTGAGCGGAGACTATGGGTCAGCGTGTTTAGATGAGTTTTGTCTTCTATGATATATGATATAACTCCGTCCTAAGTGCAAACTATATTTATAGGTCTTTCGTTTTGTTCCTCTCTATACACTACATGTTTCGGCCCCAAACGGCCATCATCAGGTGTATACACTCACAGGAAGACCTATATTTTTAAATTTTAAATGTTATAAATAAGTGAAATGTAGCAGATACGTGAGTGTATACACCTGATGATGGCCGTTTGGGGCCGAAACATGTAGTGTATAGAGAGGAACAAAACGAAAGACCTATAAATATGGTTTGCACTTAGGATGGATTTACATCATATATCGTATAAAGTGCAACAGGATGCTTAAATATAATATTTGTCTTCTATATATTGTGATGCTTGCCACCTTCTGCGTGCTCGTCTTTTTTCCACGACCATTTCTCTAATATGTAGCGGTACATTATAGTTCTGTTGTTTTTATTTACAGCAGGTGTTGTTTTCCAGGCCGCGTTTTGTATGAGGGTTGTCCAGTATTCGACTGCTTCGTTGATGTCTGTTTGCTTTTTAAGTCTGAGAATTAGATTTATATTGCTATCAATTATGTCTCCAAATTTTTATTCCAGTCTGTATATTTTGTACAGAGTTTGGGAGTTGTCTCCTTTAGTATGGCATGGTTACTCAAGGTTACAATAATTGCACTATGATCTGAAACTAGATTTAATTTTCCTTCTATTTCCGTATATATATGTCTGAGATTCCTAAACGTGATCTCAAGAGAATACTTGGATGTACAAGTGGCGACACCAAGTATCACGATGTGTATGAGTATGATTAGACATGAATCCATTTCATTGGCGCCCACTCACTAATACATGTTTCAGTGACAACTTCTATGTACCATGTTATTTTGTCCATGATAGGCAATGGGTACAAGAGTCGCAACCGCGACAGTGAAACTTCAACATCCTCACATATGCTGCAATCTGCATCATAACATCTGTATTAACCCCCTTAGGAGAGAGCACGTGGTAGCATAGTTGGTTGTGGCACTATACTACAAGCCAGAAGGTTGTGGGTTAAATTTCTGGTCAGGTCAACGGATTGTTCAATTGACCTAATTCTTCCAGCCACACTATGGTCCTGGGCTCAACTCAGCTTTGAACAGAAATGGCCACCAGGAGTATGCCTGGGTGTAAAGGGTCACTGGCGCATAAGGCTCCTCCCACAATGCGTAAAAGAGATTGAAGGAGATTTTGCAGAAAATAGTTAATTTTTAGAGAACCTAGGCGAATTTGGCCTTCAGATGGATAACAAATTGCCGAACCAAATGAATGTGATATTATTGCTAGCTGGAACTTGGAACCCTCCGTAGCTTGTAACATAAACTTCAGAAGAAGTCTCGATGTGGTTTTCTTGGTTAGATCTTGTAGTGTGAAGAAACCAACATGTCCCCCGACACCGTCGTAACCTTCTACCAAAAGACACCACGTCACATCCCAGAAAACAGAAGTCTTAAAACCTGAATACATATCGATACATAGGCCTACACTAGTAAGCCTATTTCGTAAATATATTTTTTGTTGCTTAATTAATGATACTTTCATCAGCGCAGGCTCTGGTTTCGTGTTGTGGGATGAGAAGTTAACATGAATTGAGAAGAGTATGAAAGGGAAAGCTTATGACTTAATTTAGATAATATCGCACATTATGACGGGATGAACTGAGTAAAATACGAAATATTTCAGTCAGGATGGTCATTCTTCGGGGCGAGTTTTTATTACAAAACAGTAATATTGATCAGATTATAAGCAAAACCACACAAGGAAAATGAATATTTTGTTTGTATTTCTTACAATGTACCCCTTTCTAGAAAATACTAAAAGAGCCTGCACAATTAAACTTCGATGACGACCCTGCGTCTTGAAGTGTGTACCATTCCATTAACTGTCCTACATGAAGGGGAAGGGGAGAGTTACCTTACAGGTAAGCACAGCCATCCTAAGAAGCCTGTCAAACAGCTCGTTTCCAAAGTTATGCTTTATGGTTAAATGCGGTATTTAGCACGCAAACATGTTCTGTAAATGTTCATAACAGACACTTCATATTTTGTTATTAACATGTACATATCTGAGTACACTCTACTTACATTCATATGAAATGGAAGCGCCATAGCTCAAGCGGTTAGTCGCTGGCTTCCCACCGCGGCGGCCTGGGTTCGATCCCGGGTCTAGTCAAGTGGGATTTGCGGTGGACAAAGTGGCGCCGGGGCAGGTTTTCTCCGAGTACTTCGGTTTCCCCTGCCAATCTTCATTCCACCAATTGCTCCACAATCACCCTCACCTGGTATCTGGGGCTGGTACGATAGGCCAAAAGTGGCCGCAGTGCAAAGGACTTTGTCCCACCTCACTAGTAATAAAAAAAATCATTCATATGAATGTTTATTGTCTTGTCTTCATTGATGTGCATAACTATAGCCAATGTTAGCCACAGAAGCTCAATCAAGCGGCAACCCTGCTGACTTGCATTCGGAAGATGCCAGCTTCAAATCTCTGAATATGTATTCGAATTATTTATTTGTCCCAAGGTATCTCTTTGACATACGACAACTCGGTGGATATGTAAACTGATACTTACCAGTTTTACAAGGATTATATATTTTGTACAAAGTTATAAAATAATATTAAAATAAACTGAAGAAGTCTTAATTAAACCGTGACCCTGCTAATTTCTCGGAAAGCCGAAAAACGTAGAGAGTAAGGACATAACGAAAAAATGTAAACAAAAGGGAGCACGTTAGCTTATTTACCGTACAAGTAGCATTTGGTGTCACTGGGATTATTTACAATCATTTTCCAATTCATCAACATATCAGATATTTTGAAAAAATCATAATTTCAATAGGAGAGCACTATCAAAATTATAAATGATGGTATCAACATTTATGGATAGCCTGTACCATATCCACTCTTTACCACCCCCTTATTTACTACATCATGGGGTTCTTGTATAGAGGGCGTGAGTGCTGTACTCAGACCATGCTACCAGGTCAGAATTTAGTTTTGAACTAACTGGCGAGGTGAGCGGATGTCAAGTCGGAAGTCTCGGGAATATGGGGCATCTCTTGAGGTAAGTATATGCTTATGGTTATTGAATTCATATTAACTTTTGTTCTGCATCCAATTTAGTTTTGAATTATTAATTCGGTACTTGATCATAGCATTCCTTATAAAATATAAAAATTTAGTTTTAGATATTTGTAATAATCGTTCAATCACGGAAGAATGAATTCGTTAGGACGTGATACTTCTGGAAAAAGGAATTTAAAATTCTAATGACCTAAAAATCTTTTGGAAAACATATTCTCTTTCCCGAAATATGAGAGCAGTTTCTTCTGTTTCAGTAAAACCCATTTCTGTGGTAGGATTCAGAATTTTAACTTTCAGGCCACTGTCTTAAACGTAGATCCTAACCAGTTAGTACGTTTCTTGAAGAGACAGTAGAAGGTACAGGACGTGATTTCACGTCACGTGGAAGGCAAGACTGAGTTGCGAAGTAGCCTCGAAATATTTGTAGACGGCTTGTAGCGATATAACACTTCAATGTTGCAGTGAAAAGTTCTATGTATTCCTTATTTTAATAGATACAGGCTATCACTTGAAGTCTGAAATCAACAGCCCCATTAAACCACCATATGTTTCCTAAAGTTATTAAGTATAGCGTATATGTAAGTTTCTCTGCAAAATTATATTTCTTTTGTATATATTTCTCATAGTCCATTCCGATATTATAAAGAACTGATATATATTTAACAATATAATATGCATATTCATTTTACTTTCATGGGATTGCTTTCGATAACGAAAATGGCTTAAAATTTACTCTCTCTACCACTAGACACTCCGATATATTTTTCTGATCCTGTGGTTACCACTTTACAATATCTCCTTATTCTAAAGTATAAGTTGAAAACTATCTGATAATTGCTCATCAGATCATAAGGAGCATAGCGAGCTAGGAAGAAGTGGAATCTGGAACAGGGAAAGCGCACAGCTTCCTGCCGATCTGATGAGACACGTGAAATTTGTCCGAACTGTGGCGTTCTTTTGAGTTTAATAACGCGATATAATTTTTCTACTTTGTCATAGTGTAGAGAACGTACCGTGCCAACAAGCAAACGAGACTTTAAAGTAAAAGCATATTTTAAGGTCTCAGTGTAAGTGCAGCCTTGTAATTTGCCGTACCTGAAACTTCATACTTGTACATCGAGTTGCGTCTCAGTTCTCTTTACAAATTTAGATCGAAAAATTTTGCGTAGTGTCACAATTTTGAGCATCCTCTCGGTATTCTAATAAATTTATCATTCTTAATGTGAAAATATTGCTTCATTAGTGAATGCAATTTTCTTCGCTATTGAATAAGATTAAGGGCAGAGTAGCATAATGGGCCTTCATGTTCCTTGTATATAAATAGGCAAAGCAAAGTTTGACAGAACAAGTTGCTATTGCCATAAATTTTAATTCATTATTCAGGCGATGTTCAAATGGAAGCACTGCCTAGCCGAGAGACTGGCTACCTTTACTGAGATATTTAGTGGTCTTCCTTAATCCTAGCAAGCAAATTGAGACAACTCAGTTTAGTGAGACTTCTGTCAATCCCTTCAGCTCCTTTCTTAATTCTTTCATTCTGAGCTATATAATCTGCCTGCAACAGCACGTCGCTACATTTTAATGTATGTTTTGAGTCAGTACGAGTGATCCAGCCGAAAATATTTTATTTCTTGCATGTTTTCGAAAAATGCGAAACTTTGTTGTGTTACTAATAATATTTCCGTCTCTTGGCGTTCCCATAAATAATGGCGAGGCCATGACATCTACTCTCCTACAGTATATTCTTCACAAGGATTTCGGCAAGCGATGCCGTTTGTATACAATTGAAATTGGCCCACTTTTAAGAATTGTCAGTCCCTGGTCTAAAAGCAACGATACTTAATTACATTGTTTCTTATTAAATTAAAATAATTTTACACCCTTCTCTTCGTATTGTCACCAGTGCGTATTTATTGGCAGTCGCCTAAATGTCTATTGCAACAATGTAATTATAAATGTTTTAAGAACTGTGATAGAAATTGCGTTTTTAATAAAAATATCTCTAGAAAGTTTCTTTTTTATAACTGCAGATTTTTGGAGGAAGAATTGCCCATGCCGAAGTGATAATCAGGTTTGCAGTGGCCTTGACCTATGTCCTTTAAAGAATGAAATAAAATGCCATGTACACGAAAGTATACCAAAAGATTCGAATTCGCAATTTTTCATTTTTGAGTGTCCCCCATTTGCAGTGTACATATTTTAATTTTATACTACAGATTAGTGAGAAAATGTTATTCTCGAAAATGAATGTTATATTATATGTTATATGAAATGTTATATTCTTTCAAGAACTCTAGGAAATAGGAATTTTTCGCACAAATATTCATTCAATTGTTCGAGAGGAACATGGACATGTACTAAAGAATTGGGCTTAGTTATGATGCGTTGAGCAGATTAATTGGTTTCCTTATGCTTATCAGCAGCACATGCTGAATAGTGGTCAGTTTACTGCGGTAACTAACCTATCAACTACATGTTTCATGTTGCAGGGTTCCCATTGTGGCGCAAGGCACGAGACTTCCGACTTTCCAGACGGTTCGAAGCATCGAAGCAGGGAACATGGGAATCAAAAGTAATAGAAAGCTTTTATCACACTCTATTCAATAGTGTTAATGCAGTTGAGAGCAGTGTGAGAATAGAGCCCTAGAAACAAATTAGGACGAGTGCAATAGTGTGAACTTTATGATTAGTGTACTATCGTGCATTTAAAGACGGGGCACTAGTGTGCATTTTACAAGAGCACTAGCGTGCATATTATTAGAATTAGGGCACTAGCGTGCATATTATTAGAATTAGGGCACTAGCGTGCATATTATTAGAATTAGGGCACTAGCGTGCATATTATTAGAATTAGGGCACTAGCGTGCATATTATTAGAATTAGGGCACTAGCGTGCATATTATTAGAATTAGGGCACTAGCGTGCATATTATTAGAATTAGGGCACTAGCGTGCATATTATTAGAATTAGGGCACTAGCGTGCATATTATTAGAATTAGGGCACTAGCGTGCATATTATTAGAATTAGGGCACTAGCGTGCATATTATTAGAATTAGGGCACTAGCGTGCATATTATTAGAATTAGGGCACTAGCGTGCATATTATTAGAATTAGGGCACTAGCGTGCATATTATTAGAATTAGGGCACTAGCGTGCATATTATTAGAATTAGGGCACTAGCGTGCATATTATTAGAATTAGGGCACTAGCGTGCATATTATTAGAATTAGGGCACTAGCGTGCATATTATTAGAATTAGGGCACTAGCGTGCATATTATTAGAATTAGGGCACTAGCGTGCATATTATTAGAATTAGGGCACTAGCGTGCATATTACAATTAGAGCACTAGCGTGCATTTTATTAGAATTAGGGCACTAGCGTGCAATTATTAGAATGAGCACTAGCGTGCATATTATTTGAAATAGGACACTAGCGTGCATATTATTAGAATGAGCACTAGCGTGCATATTATTAGAATTAGGGCACTAGCGTGCAATTATTAGAATGAGCACTAGCGTGCATATTAAATCAGAGCACTAGAGTGCATATTATTAGAATTAGGGCACTAGCGTGCATATTATTAGAATTAGGGCACAAACTTGCATTTTAGAATGAGAGAACTAGCGTGCATATTATTGGAATTAGGGCTCTCGTGTTGATATAAGGATAAGGGCACTAGTGTGTATGGTTTTTGATGAGAGGGCACTAGTGTGTATATGTGGTTTTTTGATGAGCGGGCACTAAGAGGGCCTGTGGTTCTTTAGTGAGAGGCCACTAAGAGTGTCTGTTTTCTTTATGAGAAGACACTAAGAGTGTCTGTTTTTTATGAGAAGGCACTAAGAGTGCCTGTGGTCTTTTGGTGAGAGGGCACTGAGAGTGCCTGTGTTCTTTTGATGAGAGGGCACTAGGAGTGCCTGTGGTCGTTTTGTGAGAGGGCACTAGGAGTGCCTGTGATCTTTTGATGAGAGAGCAGTAGTGTGCATATGTGGTTTTTTGATGAGAGGGCACTAAGAGGGCCTGTGGTTCTTTAGTGAGAGGCCACTAAGAGTGTCTGTTTTTTTTATGAGAAGACACTAAGGGTGCCTGCGGTCTTTTGGTGAGAAGGCACTAAGAGTGCCTGCGGTCTTTTGGTGAGAAGGCACTAAGAGTGCCTGCGGTCTTTTGATGAGAGGGCACTGAGGGTGTTTGTGGTCTTGGTGAGAGGGCACTAGGAGTGCCTGTGGTCGTTTTGTGAGAGGGCACTAGGAGTGCCTGTGGTCGTTTTGTGAGAGGGCACTAGGAGTGCCTGTGGTCGTTTTGTGAGAGGGCACTAGGAGTGCCTGTGNTGTGCAATTTGTTTGTGAGCAGTAGTGTGCATTTTGTTTGTTGGTGTGAGCAGTAGATCGCACTTGGTTTGCTGGTGGGTGAGAGCAGTGTCTGTCTTTTTTTAAGCTGTAAGAGTGCCGTTGGATGATGAGAACACTAATTTGTCTTTCGTTTGTTGGTGACAACACCAGAATGACGAATGCATCAAGAATTACGCAGTTTTTCCAAGGTATCAAACATTGAGATAGGGGTTTCACTTATGTGCACATAGCTCTCCGTAATGTTATATTCAAGCTTCATTTAATTGACTTCCGTGAAAGTCCTATGAGATTTCATATTTTGACTTGAAGGAAGAGAAATAAATTTCATTAATGAACTTCCTCATAGGGAATTTAGTAATAAATGTATGCCCGACTATGAGATGCTGAAATATGATTGTGTAATCAAATGTTTTAGGAAGAATAGTTGATTTAATGCACATATTAATTTTTATCTTATTACTTATTATTCATGCTTGGTTTTATATCAAAATAATATACACAATTTTAATTCACAAATAATATGTGCGCTATCGTGCCGTAAATTCCCGATGAGCTTGTAGAGTATCAAGCAAGTGTTCAAATCAATAGTATTTTAATTTACACTTTCTTATATGGAAAAATTATGTCTCATTTCTATATCATGTGAAATCAGTATGTTCTTGTATTGTGGCTCTATGACTGGAAAACTGAAATATCGTAATGAGTGTGTACAGAGTTTTGACAAAATTAGTATACAATACATACTGTGAAACAAAATTCAATTCTAAGAATTATAAAGCAACAATATTTCAAATTATATCAGTCTAAATTTATTAAAATGGAATCATATTCAGATGGACTCAATATTTTTGAATAAAATTCTTTCCTTTAAATATTTTCAAAAGATACATTAGCACCCCAGTCAAGATGAACAGAAGTTCGTACTTTTTAATAAAATATATACATTAGAAAATAATTCTAAAGCTGGCCAGTGCAGACCACAAAACAAGAAATGTAACCTAGAACAGTTGACTGCTGCCGTCCGTTTTGCAGGCGAGCTTCACGAATGTGTGAAGGATGACTCCGCCTTCTTGGGATGTCCAACTTTCCGTCTCTCAAGAAAAAGAACATTTCCTCCTTCGTGGGATCACGGACGGCACTTCCCTGGAAGAATTCAACGTATTTACCATCCTGCCTACAGTACTGCAGCCTCAACCAGACCTCTCTGCATCGCAGGACACCTTAAGGACCTCATCGAACAGTAGGATAGCGACAAGGTTTCTGGGGTACTACAGAACCGTGGCCGCGTACCCAACCGTACCGGTCGCGGATGGAGACTTTGTAGAATGTGTGTATGTCTACTTCTGAGTATTGCTGCTAATGCCCTAGAATACTCGGAGGTTCCACACGTAATTAAAGTATCTTGAATTTGTTGAATAACAGAATGCTTACAAAGTGATAAGTAAATTCTTAAAGCAAGCTCATTTTTCTAAAACATAAAGCATGAATATTTTCAAAAAGAAACCTATCGATTTCTTGTTTATGCTAAATAATGTACCCATAACATGGACCTCACGTCTGTCTACCTCTGAAATGATCTCTTTCGTAGAAGGTTCATGGCCAATCATTTTGTTTCTTGTGACAACTAGAAATCACCATCCCTGCATACATTCTGCCTCCATCTATAATGAGATTGGAGTTTTCACCAGCACAGGTTCAGCCAATCCACTCACTGGCCTGTGTCTCCGGTTGACGAAAATTTACCAATCTCCGTAGATATTACAGACTACTCTGTGCTGCTACATTCATAAAGAGTGTTTTGAAAATTAGATACCAAACTATTGTACGATCAGCATTCAACATTCGTAGCAAGTTCACATTACTATCCGGATCTGATTTATGGAGAGTTAGCTTGGTATGGAGCTACAAATGTCACGGCTGTGGTAGGCAAGTTGCAGCTATGCCAAAACGAATTCTTCTAACATGTGTGTTTCTGTTTCAGGAATGTTTTCTATTTTTATTGCAATGTGTATTGTTATTGTATTGGTGTTGGATTGTGGGGGTAGCTGCATCTTGTCGGACAGGGAACACATGGTCCCTATTTTCATTTCAATTTTGTACAAAGTGTTCAATTTTCATGTTCAGTTTCGGCAAAGATCTTTATCTGACAATTTGCTTGTAAGAAGAATATAACATGAAGAGCTTGCAGCTGTTCTCCATCTTCAAAATTTGTCCCCTTCGCGCTTTCGATTGTCAGGTATTGTCACATGGGGGGAGGGAGAGGGTACCAGGATGGCTGGAGTAGTTGCAAGTTCTGTAGAGATTTCGCTTGAAACAGCCATATCCTTTGCCTGAGAATGGTGATTGTATGTGGGAAATAGAGAACTCTGAAGTTGTATTCCAAATCCCATTGCTACTGATTCTCGGAAGCTTCTAGAAATGAACACATCCTTCGTTCATGCCTCGTAGAGAAATCTGTAACAGTGGTATGGAATTCCCTCACGTGGTCTCTATTTCGGATATGCGTTCTGGAAATTGCAGGTATGTCATATCCCCCCCTCCATATCCTGTGCCTCAACGTGGCGAGGGGGTGAACAGAGAATTATGCATGTGTTACACGTAACCGTTTATTGTAGAGAAAGTTACGAAGTGTCACAAACAAAGAATTTTTGGAGTGTACAGAAAATATAATTTCAACAGTTCTGAAGCCTGATTTGATAATACTGGTTATATTTCTCAGATATCAGATATGGCAGAAGTGTTCTGTCATGTATTTCAACGATAAGAAATGAAGGTCAGATGTACAATGAGAACTTCTAACATATTCACTTTCGGTCCCGTCAGCTGAAAGTTTGAAGGTTATCCCGTCTAGAACAGTGTTCCGCAGCACACAAATGTTTTGTTTGTTCTTCTGAATATATCACTCAAATACGAAGAAAATAATGTTATGGAAGCATGAAAGTCAAAGAATGCAGTCGTGATAAGTTTTATTTCCGAATTTATTAATTAAAAATCCAGATTTCATTTAAAAATTTCTGTCAAGCAATTAGGCTGTCAAGCAATTAGGCTTTCAGTAGAGATATATAAGACTAAATTTGTAAGATTTGTGGCTTAAAATTTAATTAAAATTAAGGTATAAATGAGCTGTTTTATTCCTCACGCCTCGCTACTAGATGTCTGTATGGATATTATTACATATGGTACAGTCATCTGACTCTGGCCCTTTACAACACATTGGCTTCCTGGATTTCGATATAAAAATATGAGCTAAGAAATGTGTACATCGTTTTTACGATAATATATTAATATCAGAATTCTCGTGATCTTACAATGTGTACATACTTCAATGATCGTCAAATATAGCACAATTAGTAACTTGATTAAAATTTATAATTTTGTTATATATATTAATATATTCATTGCGTTTCTGTGCATTAGCCATCGATATGATTTTATATGAACACAACGTTTCGGAGACTAAAATCTGTATTCGTCTTCAGGTGGAATCCACTCAGTTGAGTCCGACCGACAGGGCTATTCACTATCCGGAAACTGGCCCCAACACAAATTAGGGCATAAAAAGTTAGCACAGCATAAACCATCTGAGCTAAAACAAATATTAAAGCATCAAAAAAATCCACACAGGAAGCCTAGCACCCACGTTCCACATATTTTTTTACGTCTCTTCTGGCTAAAGTCGGAATATTATTAATAAAGAGAAAAACTCTGTATTGTATAGAGATAAAACCACAATACTGATACCCAATTTACACTGGACGTAGAGTTGTAGTGTTCTGAATTCTGCTGCGAAAATGGGAGTCCAGCTGGGAGATACGTGCAAGTTGGGTTGACATTTCGGATGATTTACCAGACACATATTGTCCGAAATTTTATTCTCATCCTCATTTTTCTTTCCTCTTGAATCAAACTTTGATTTGTTACTGTTGTTACGACTTATTGAACTCTACCACATTTTCAAAGGAACTGCTAGCTATGTTTGGGATTACAAGAAAATTATAAAATATTTACCTCCCTTATATTATTATAAGTCTCGTTAAAAATGTGTTCACTCTAAAAATTTCGAAAATACACAAATTCTATGAGAATATTGAAGAATGCTCCCCCCTTAACTGAATCGTATTAATGCTAGAAGTCTACAAATAGCTGATATTCTGACATATTTTACTCCCATTTTTCTCCAGTATCTGACGAATGAAAAAATTCTGAACATTAGCTGACCAATGTAGATTACGGGTTAAACATTTTCTTATATTTGACCACGCAGAGAATCTGTTTCTTTAATGATAACTTCTATTCTGATAATACGCTTTTCAACAATTATTACCGTCAAATTATGCGTGGATGCAGATGCTAGGCCTCGCGTGTGTGGAACTTTTTTTGTCCTAAGCCTCGCAGATGTTCTTCCGCTGTGCGTGGTTTATATACCCCGTCCTGCGTTCGTGTTTGTGCCCGGAGATATGTGCTAGAACTCTCGAGTGGGACCAACAGTAGATTCCACTTTTAGACGGACACAGGATTCAGTCTCCTGAACGTTTTATTTTGAATAATAGCGATTCGATGTATGCAGTCCAGAAACAAAATAATTATTGAAATTTGCCGTCTGGCATGTGTGGTTTTGTAGAGGGGTATCAAAATGTCACGAGGAATTTATTGCCACGACCTTCAGGGTACTCTTACGCTAGCGAAGGAGGAGATAAGTTTCTTCTGAAAAGTTATTATTCATTTTTCAAACCACATCGGATTCCATGCTGAAGACTATCTTATACACCATTGTGATTCCCTGAAGTCTTTGTGCTTCACTGTGCACATTGTGTCCCAGAATAGAGTTAACATGTTGTGTATGATTGTACATTTGTGTTTTAGTGGGTTTTATTGTGCTTGGGTGGAATTTTCCTGTATTTTGGACGCCTGCTGTAAGAACTACTCGATGAAATTGCAACATATTTGTTTCCCGAAATTTTCTGTTAATAACATACTATCTATTAGAGATGAAGACACAATTAATATAACGTTACTCTGGCACTCTTTATACTAGATGTCTGCATATTGACGAAAGTATTTATTTATTGGTTTTAATACTGTGACATTCGCGTGAACATGCATAATTCTTTGGCCAAAGCAGGATGAAATGTGTGATTCTTAATAAATGATAAGTATTTTCTATGTTACTAGTAAGCTAAAGAATTCAAGGAGTTGATTCATTTCTTTCCCTAACCATTCATTGATAAGCAAATTGGGATAGCATTAATGATACATTTTGGAGATAATCAGTTTGTTTTATGGAATTATGAATAGTTAACTCGCTATCCCAAAATGCTTCATGCCTTTAACAGTTCTCTTCAGCTTAAGGCCAGCACGCAGTTTTCCAAATCCTTTTTCCTCCCTAAAATATCTGAGTGTGCGTGCGCGCGATTCATAATCTGTAGGACCATACCTCCCCTCTGCTGGCTCAACATTGCTTTCTGACTCTAAACTTGTGTTCTATCCCAGCTTAATTCACGTGAGATTCAAGGAGGCTGAAATGACACAGAAGCAGAATTTTCTTTGGTTTTCCCACAGAGATCCTCTTTCCACTTTTCCCTACTTATCTTTCACTGGTCCCTGAGGTGTGCGATAATCCTCAACAATCAGCACATTATCACATCCTTGGTCTTTATGCTGGAGGTACATATGTGGCCCAGCACTTGGTTGGGTACATAGTAACGAACTTAGCGTGTTACAAGAATTGTGGTTGGTACAGCATCACTAAATAAAATAATCAATCGCTACCTTCCCATTTCCTTTCCTTTTTCCATCTTTATACAAAGTGTTATTTGAACAAAATCTACTGAACAGGAAAATGAAATTCAAGAATGTCCATGTTCTTATGTATATTTTCTCAGGAACACCGAAGGGAGAACGGGAAGGGACTGTAGTCCACAAGCAGCCGTGGCTGTTAGAGCAGTGTAATGCCGGATATTAAAATGTTAGTACCGTAATGTTCCAAGCTTCCCCTGGTACCTGATTACCGAGGGACGTGGTTAAAATATAATTGTACTCTCCTTTATATGGGGGGGGGTCATGTTCAGAATACCGGCTGGAGCAGAGACTATCCTATCCGAGATCACACGAACTAGACAAATGTTGAGATAGTACCTCAAAAGCAGCTGTTCCCTTCCATATCCTCCTAGTTCATTCACTCTCATCAAACTAGGAAACGGCATGCTCTGTATTACTGGAAGGTTTTTAAGAAACCGTCAGTAAAGTAGATGTTTGAATTAACCCTTCAGTGCTGCCGTCTATTCAGTGGATGTTACGGCTGATATTTTAAGGTTTTGAAATTTGTATAGAATGCTTAATACAACTGTAAATTTCAGCTTACTTCAGCGAATGTAGAAAGTTA